TGACTTAGGGCATATCACAATATCCCAGTGGCTGATGAAGATATTCCCAAGACAGCTATTACAACACCCTTTGGCTTATTCGAGTTTGTACGCATGCCATTCGGCCTGAGAAACGCGGCACTTCCTCAGATATTCTTGTTCCACATTCTCACACTTTCTCTTGAAAGCACGCAGCAAACCGTCAGCGATAGTTGTAGAAAAGATCACATGCTACAAAATAAGATGACAAGCTAGTAAATGAAGAGACATCCATGGACTATCGTTGACAGCGTCAGTCGTCACTGATTGTAAGTCAAACAGTGAGCGAGTTGATAATTTTCCGTTGGGATGAGGAATAGAACTAAGGTGTTTTCGATAGATAGGTTAATCGAACCGACGTTCCTACGGAAGTCGATTCTAAGGGGAAGCTAATGTAACAGCTTAGGTTGGTTGGTTAAGAGTTGAACCCAAACAACCAAGCATATGCCAAAACAGTATTGTTCAAGTATTCATTCACTTCCTTGTTTTGTATAAGCGTTATATTCCCTACTATCTTATATTGAATGTTGAGAGCCTTTGTTTGTCTGAACAGATAATCCTACGCTCCACTGTGACTGCGCGAAGATCGAAATAAAGACCTATTCACTACTTCTCTGGTTTCTTCTATCAATAGCACGAGGGTTACCTTAAGGCACGAAAAATCCACGACTTCAGTTCCGGATTCACATATCAATGCAATACAAACTATGGGGAGCCAAGTCCGAGAGGTGTACAGGATGTAGTCAAGAGACAGAATAAGATAAATGAGTAGCTCATAGTCACATCTAGTAAAAAAAATAAGAAAACACAATGAGACCTCTGTGTTTGACGCTAAATTGGAATCAAATTGCCTGGAAGAGATGATTTCAGGAAGTGAAATTCTACAGCATGTTATAACGGACCTCGCTGAGAGGTCAGTCATTTTTCATAAGTTTACAGATTCTTCCAATACGGAACCAAAGGCCAGATTTCAGCACGACCTTAGTCATATTAAGTCCTTAATAACCAAGCTACGCCCAGAAAGTTTCAAGATTTAGCAGATGTAAGTTTTATAAAATATGACAAAATGTGGATTGTGAAAGTACTCAGAAAGGTCGCCTCCTAAAGGTTACCTTCGCTTCGGCTGAAGAAAGAAACCTAACACTGAGAAACTCATTCAAACTGATCGGTTACGAAATATACGTCGATGAGGATCTCAGCCTGTTTGACTGTATTAGACGATCAGAAGAATCAGAGATGAAAGCCACCGAAATAGTGAAAGAAACCTCGTCTTAAGAGTTTTCACATTGTAAAAGTTCGGAGCGAAACGATCGCCAAAGCACTGTGGGTGGTAAGGGAAAGTCCTCCACGGAATTAAAGGTGTGCTACATTAATGTTCGCAGCCTGCTAAATAAAACGGCGGAGCTCAAGACAACGGTGGATAAAGAAAAACCTGGATGTTATTGCTGTCTCAGAAGCATGGTGAACGTCAGTGTCTGATAATAAAGTTCAGCTGGCGGGTTTTTTATCCAGTAGGGCTGATAGATTAAACCTTGGGGGAGGCGGTTTGATCCTGTGCACAAAAAGTACCCATACCATACGAGTAGTAGAGATAGCGGCACATGATTCAGGGACATGAGAACTGGTGCACTGCCAGCTGAAATTTTGACGTCAATATATTGAATTAGTGTTAATATGTCGCAGTACAGAATGCGTAGTAGATGACTTCCTCGTAAGCAAACTTAAGTCCTGGTGTAATAAGAATAAAAGCCATATGGTAGGCGATCATAATGCACTGTATATAAACTGGGTAAAATTAGAACTATGGTCATCGATAACGTTATTCACTCGCAAACTGTAAAAAACTTCACTTGTATTAGCTTTATTTCAACACATTAAAGATTCCACCAGATATGACTTACACAGATCCTCTTTTCTTTTGGATTTAGTCTTCACACACGGTGATGACGTCAGTCAAATGAGTTTCATCCCATCACTAAATAGGAGCGATCATGCAGTCATACTGTTCAAATTCATGGCTGCGATTGCCTGTCAGGTAGTTGTGCCAGCCCGTCCTAATATATGGAAGGCAATCACGTCCTCTGAATCGGCTGAAAACTGGGAAGTTGACTCAAGGGCATTAGCATGAGAGGCCGTGTCCTTTGATCTAGACGATGTACTTAAGTATCTTAGCATGTTAGACATGGAAAAGTCAAAAGAGCCAGATGAATTGCACCCAAAAATCCTGAAATAAACTGCACAATATATCACAGTCCCACTGACTGTGATATTCAATATGTCACTTGGTCAAGATGTGTTACCTACGGACCATAAGGATGCAGTCGCCACTGCCATATGTAAAACAGGACCAAGACACCTTCCACCGAACTAAAGGCATGTAAACCTCACAAATGTTGTGGTTAAAATATTGGGAAGCATAGCTAAACAGACCATAATAACATTTGTGAAAACCAATAACCTGTTAAACAGCAAACAACATGGTTTCAGAAAAGGTTTTTCTTGCACAACGAACCTCCTTATAGCAAGGGAATATTGGATAAAGGCTCTAGACAACGGAAACCCAGTGGATGTTGTCTACATAGACGTCAGTAAGACATTTGACAAGGTGCCAACAAACAAACTGCTATTGAATTTAAAAATCTTGGTATTGCCGGACCTTTTTAAATGGCTTGAGGATTTCCTAGTAGGTCGTAGGCGGAAAGGTAGAATAAATTCCAAGTGCTTCACCTGCAGACCATTACTTAATGGAGTACCTCAAGATCCTGTCCTAGGTCATATACTTTTTATACTGTATGTAAATGATCTCCCAAGTATAATACAGCCCCCAAAGTTATTATACGCTGATGATGTAAAAATCTGGCGAGTAATAATGGGAGACACAGATGCACGCACATTTCAGGTAGACTTGAATAATGTGGTTAACTGGTCTAAAGAGTGGCTGATGCCTATCAACACGACAAAGTGTGTCTACATGCACTTCGGGAATACAAAGGTAAATAAGTACAGCATAGGGGAAGTGCCTATACCCGTGGTCCGGTCTCACAACGACCTTAGTGTGACAGTGAGTCATGATATTCGGACGACGGCCCATTGTCAGGAGGTCGCAGCTAAAAGGTTTAGAACCCTCCGGGATTTAAAATGAATATTCACTAAGTTAGGTACTACCTTGTTCACTACAGTATATACAACCTTAATGAGAACTAAGCATGAAAACTACGTTCAGACTGCAAGCCCCTGTTTTAAAGGTGAGTCGGATATCCTGGAAAAAAATACAGAGGGCAGCTACCCGTGCAACTCAAGGACTCCGGGGTTTACCATACAAAGAGCGGCTTGAATAGCTAGACCTTTCCTATAGCAGTCTAACGGAAGATCTAATTTCGATGTATAGAATACTAAGAAATGATTTTGGACATATAGTATTCTCTATTTTTCTTCACATTATATCGGGACATCTCAGAGATCATAGCAGGTATGTAGAAGAGCCAAGAACAAACAAAATACCCGTGACATACAGGTTTTCACATTGAGTAATCAATACTTGGAACCTGTTGCCCGAAGCATTGGTGTCCGCACCTTCAATTGACTGATTCAAGAGAAGACTGGACACTCATAGAAGTGTAGTGTGACGTCGAGTCGCGGTTGACTATGATCACCACTCCAGGAAGACTACGTTCCGGGTAACCGATAAGATCCCCCGTAAGCTAAATATTAGAAGGCAGTTGATTGCTGTAGTCGAGATGTATTTGTTGGCGATCTCGTGGTATCGAAAGAATATTGAGATCGTGCTAGGCTACAAGTGTGGTTACTGAACGAAACCGAACTCGTGCAAGGTCACAATCAACGGAAGAACGTATGTTCTTAATACAGTTAAACAAACAAGTACAATAAAACAATCACTGGTACAATTGGTTATTATACTAATTGTTTCCATTAAGCCAATCGCGTTCTCTTGATAAAAGTAGGTCACTACAGGAGGCCCCCGCTAGAAAGGGTTTACACTCGATAAGTAGCGGTTTAGTTCGTGGAACTGGTTTGCAAACATGCGATTGTAACACGAAAGGGTTGGCAGAGCAGGAAGCGATCGTTGATCCTGGAGTTGTCACTGAATGTCTTTTACGTAGAACGATACCAGGAGAAGTGTGCTGTATTTGTTGCTCGAGTTAGCATACCACACCAGAGTGGTTTGTATCCATGATTTGAGGATTGCGTTCGTAGTGATGCAGACCAGAAAACGCTGCAGACGTAGGAAGGAACAACGTTGAGCCAAGAAACCAGAAGCGACCATAACAACCAATTGCGAGACCAAACATATACCAGACAGATTCAAAGCCAGAACATCGACTGAGTGAGTTGACAAGAGTGTGTGTGATCAGGCCAGCTTTCGCCAAAACTGACTGAAGTCGACGGTACCAAACGGGCGATAGTCGGAGGCGTGGGCTTAGGATATCAAAATCAAAGAAAAAGAGAAAAGGTGTAGCATACATGTAGTATGGGAATAGTCCCACACCGTATTCTTTGTTGATTGAGCGGTTAGCCGCGAAAGAGTATGGGTAGGCGTACTCGGCGACCGCAATGTGAGACGGTAGTCTCGTTCGTACTTCGTGAGTTTGCAATCTCATCCGAAATACTACGTAAACGTAGTGCTACACAAATCTGAATCTGAGCGCTTTTAGTAAGGTGGGTCCATTGAAACTAATGTGGTCAGCATCAAATGTCAAAGACTTACAGAGCTATTGATTGTGGGGATTTCTTTACCACTACAGTGGGAATGTTCCGATAAATGTATTTTCCATAGATTTGGGTATGGCCTTTGACAAGGTCTACCACCTGGTTCTTAAATTAAAATAATCAACGTTCTTAGTGATAAGAGACAGCGAGTACGGGTAAACATTGCTTGATCAGCGTAATAATCAGTAAATGTAGAGTTCCCCAATGCGCGATTCGGCCAGACTTTAATTTATGGACGAGCCAATCAGAGGCGTCTTAGAAATCTCAAGGCTACGGCGCCAACTTCAGTGCTTAGTGCTAACGGTCGGTTCACAGGAAATTTTGTACAAAACGTGATAATTGAGCGGCTATAACAAATAAAGCGGCGAGACTATAATTTGTGGGCGAATCAATCAGTTATAAGATAATAGATCTCGGATTTTAACGCGAAAGACTTCCACCCATCTGGCTAAATAAATTTCTGGCATTATATCTGATAACAACCCCATATATAATTCCTAACTAAGTCAAATTACGACAATTATTTCGAACTGGATAGTTAAAGCACCAGTGACACTGGCTGAAGCTAAGTACTACATCCCAGTAAGAAATGTACGTATGCATTCTCGCTAGGTTTTTGTGATGTCTAGAAATCCTCGGGGAAGTTTTGCGTTAAAAAGAGTTTTGGGAAAAAATCCCCAAAGTCAGGGGAAATTTGGATTTTCCCCCAAAATTGTGAATTTTTTTTGGGGTTTTCTTAGTAAATATAGGCGCGCTTCCCCAAAGTTTAATAAGATTCTGGGGAAATTTTGGGGTATTTGTGCTATTTCCCCAAAGTTTACTATGGCGGCTCCATCAAAACGGGTCGAATTTTCCACAAAATTGGGAGCTCGGGTTGGGTTCTGTAGCCGTATGGATGATTTCCTCTACTGCATGCAATACGGTTTTAGAACCTCTGAACTTCTCCCTAACCTTGACAAGTTTTTGAGCCACGTATAAGAAGTGTATCCACTTTATTTCCTTGTTTTTTTAAACATTTTTACTCTATACAGACTGTTTGTTGGCTGGCTGATATTTCTCAAAGTTACTTTAGATTCATTCAAAGGTCGTCCATAAATTAGAGTCGCGCCGGATTAACATAGGTCGACTGGCTTCCTATCCTTACTACGTAGTAAGTAAGTACTGAATACCAAAGTCTTACTTCGGTTGGAAGTCCGGTCTTCAGCGATAAAAAATAGTAAGTCGTTTGACCTGTGTTAATCCTCGGAGCGAAGATCCAGCTTCTCTTTGAGATTGTACACTGGTGGAAATGATGACACCTGTTCGCGTAGAGTAATCTGGAACGCACCTTCTAGTCATTGAACAATCGGTGAAAGAGAATCCCACTGAGTTTATTTGGTTGAGGTTTTTTAAACTCATTGTGGCCTCGGAGATAATTAGTTCCGTAGGGAGTTACATCATAAGTGTTAACATCAAAATCATTACTTAAGATGCGGAATAACAATTGAAAATCTTTGAGAATTGCTGTATTGCAATCCGTAGTTGTTTTCAAGTCATGACTCACTGATATTCCTGTCTTGTTGTTCCTGCACTTGTAGAAGCGACGTTCCATTAACGGCATACTGCTAATTAGCAGTGGTTATAACCACTGCCGTATCCAATGTAGAATAACACACTCTTGGTGATTCGTTGACGTAGAAAAAGAAAAATAGGGAACGTAAAATGGTGTTTTAAGGTATACTGATTTTAATCGATTTCATTGCAGATGGTGTTCTATCTACCATCATCCTTTGTCTCTGGTCACAAGAATTTCTCTCGCTCTTATATGACTCCTGTTGTTCCAAAGCTTGAGAGCTTTGCACAAGCCCTTATCGATACACATCAAAATATTTGAATTTCACACTGATAGTCAAACCACTATCCTAGGTTGGCTGTCCAATTATCTCTCTTGGTTAGTTAATCATAAATATTGAGACTCGTGTTTCTTAAGGGTAAATAAATTGCATGATTCTACATGACTTAGTAACTTAGTCCGAATTGTTTTCTCAAACACATTAGCTACTGCGTTAGTTGGACCAATAGTTCAGTAGTTGGGAACGATATATCTTTCTGTACTTAAGTATAGGGTTAGCGATAACATTCTTTTAATCTCTAAAGAGTCCGGAAAAGGGACGTGTTAAATGGTACCGTGAGTGGTTCTGAAATAATGCCCAGGAGGAATAATAGCAATTGTAAATGTAACCTGTCGGTCCCCGGTGACTTACAAGCATTGGTATTGTAGCGGCAACTACCATGATATCTCAGTGGCGTGGTTATTGGGTGTGTTGACAACAAAGCCAGCAGAGTAGACCTCACTGAAGTAGTTTGACAAAATCTCAGCTTCGACCGTGTTTGAATTATCGTGTAATAGTAACGGGGGACTCCAATACTACGTTTTGTTCTCCGCTTGACATACGAAAACAATCGTTCTTGGGAATTACGGCTATCGTGTGTCGAATGTCTTTCGTATGTAGTGCGGGGTCTAGCTCTAGCCATTTTACGTACACCCCTGATTTTTCGGTACTCATACTTAAATAACTCACGACCAGTGTTAGAAACAAGTCGCAAAAATGTTTCCTACTCTGTATCATTTCCCGATTCATGAAAGGCAGTTTCATTGCTTATGTGTTGACCATGATATGAACGGCAATGTTATGGCCTCGAATATGTCTTCAAACCCACTCCATCTGTATTCAATCAACCTATCTAAATGACTGACCAATTTTTTGAGGTAGCACAGTCTCTCTTTGCTGGAATGTTGGATTAGAAAGAACAGGTATTTCCTATTTGGGTTTTACGTTCTTTTTTAGTTTGAGATACCACAAAATGGTTTTTGTTTTTAACACATGGTCATTTGAGTCTTAAATAAACATACACTTTAGTGTGACAGTGCTATCTTTCATTGATGTCTAAATTTCTTACAAGAACTAGTAATTTCTGTCTTAATGCTAACAGGCTCGGCAGTATAAGTTAGTTTAACTCCCATCATTTGATCTTATACCTTCAGGAGTATGGTTTTAAAACACAATTGTATCAACTCATCACTTAATTGACGTCAGCTATTTGACTAATATTTCTGTGCTTTTTAGCCTTCAGATGGATGAACGCTTTACTACGGCGTTGTCTATATGGATCCATAAACCTCAGGTTGTACATAAAGATGTATTTGCTTCATCCGTTGTATCCGAAACTGATGAATCCTGCGTAAGATTTATCTATCCGAAGCTCCGTACTGGGATCAGTGAATTCACTGAAGTTTGTTCCAAAGGATCAGCTTATAAGTTTTCATCGATCTCCATAACTTACATTATCGAGGAAACAAAGTAATTTTACTCTATTATACTGATTAGTAGTGGTCGCATTCAAGTTTCCGTCTTGGATGAGTCTCCTGGGTTTCTTCAGAGTTCTTGGCTGAAAGACGTCCTTGAACAGAAGCTTAATCTTTGGTATTCTTGTGATGCAAAAGTTAATATTCCTTCCCTCTCACTAATTGATTGCCGTTTATATCAATTGCAATACGAACGCTTGAAAAATACCTATGGACCTACTCTAGTTAAGGTATCTATTAAAATCGTGATTGATTATTTGTAGTAGAACTGGTCGGAGAAAACAGACCCAATGAAATTCGTGTATGAAGATATTGGCATAGCTTGCTACCTCATAGTATGTCAAATTGCACAATAAATTTGCTTTTTTAGTGTTTATGGAAAAATGAACATGTTAATTTCGTCGATCTTGGTTGTGGAAACGGATTGTTGACGTACATACTTTCGTCGGAAGGAGTAAGTTACTTTGTCCTTTATTCAGCAAGTTCACTGGCATAGGAATAGATGTACGTAGAAGGCACATTTGGAAGTCTTATCCACTAAGTGTACAACAACGTTTAAAGGTATGTCTTTTGTGCTTTCTCAATCCCTGAATTGCATGTGATCTTTAAGTTCTCGGTGTATTTCACATTTAAAATCCCGATTCTACACCCTACCAAGATAAAATGTGATTTTCTTACAGGATACAGAACGGTGTTTTAACTTCTTTGACCTCAGTAACTCTCAACCATTGTTTTAAATGACATTACTACATGATATTTAGTTTGTATAATTTTATCTAATTTTAAAAATAAATCCTAGGAAGGTGATGTTAATATACAGCTTCCGATCATTTTAAATAAAACTGGCTTCCCGTACACCAAATATTTTTTGCCCATAAAACTAGCTAAGTATTTTGTTTTTTAAAATATTCGAGTTGTAAAAACCACAAGTAAGGATGTTATACCTGGGTTTAGCTCGTGGCAATTTAAATATTATGGTCGATCTGAAAGTCACTTTTTTCTATCTTCAAATGGCTGATCTCTTAATTAGTAGGAGACCTTGACATCATATATACGTGATATTGTCGTCCTGTGTAATGAATAACCAAATCTCATTTATCTGCAAATTTGGAAAAGCCATGAATAACAAAGCAATAAAAAATAGCGAAGTATGACTTTGATTTCAGATGTCTTTAGGCACAATGGTCTAGTATTGTCGGTAAGGTTAACTAGGAATTTATTTTGAGTTCGGGATCTAAACGTGATTTCATTTAGTGAGCCTAAATCGGTAATTGATCTATTTCGTAAGAAAAGATAGCAACGCTCTCGTAAAATAACCATAGGACAACCGATTAAACCAATACAGTTTCTAAAATCATCTAAATTATGAATGATACTTTGGAACAGTAAACTCGAAAAAAATCGATTTGAAGATCAAAAGAGTTGATCATAAGAAGTTAAGGGCAGCTCAATCATCACGTGGCACCGGTTTATGAGGCCACTGGTTGTCAAATCGATCATTGTTGATAAACGCAGATTTCTCGATCGCGGTTCATAATTATCTTAACATTCCTCGTTCGCAGTGATACATATCCAGTCATAAATGGCTGGGATCTGTCGATAAATCAAGACTCCCCTGTCGGGTTTCCAGAGATCTAGCAGCTCGCTGACTTGAGACGTTATCAGACATGAATCAGCATTGAAGCCAGTGACGATTGTAATGTAGTTTCCTACTACAATGTTACCACTATTAAGATAAACTTTCTTAACTAAGAGAAGTGTTGGTTGTGTTCTTAATTGAGCTCTATCCCATATTAAATACTCTTTCTGTTTATTTATTGATTGTACGACCCTTCTCTCATTTCTTTACAATATTATAGCTTCATTTGTTTGGCACACTTATTTATGCCCTATTATACCAGAATATAAATATATTTCTAATGGAAATATCAACAAAAAATCAATGTTCTTCATTTAAAAAACCCAGACGAATTCATACTCCCTTTTATGACCCTTCAGATATTCGACCCAACTCTAGTTTTTTTGGTTGTTTCTATTTTTCTATGGTTACCTCCATATTCTTTCTCATTATATTTGTGTAATATTGGCTAGGAGTAATAGTTTTATTCTGATCCAGTCCATCAGCTACAGCAATCCAGTTTTTTCTGAATTGTATTTTTAACTAAAATTCATTTATAATGTTACTCAACTCTGTAAAATCTCGCTACCATTCTTTCATATTTTAGGAAATTTCGTTAAATCCAGAAGAAGTTTGTGGGTTTCCACAAGCCAATTGGCTAATTGGGAATCACAGTGATGAACTTACACCTTGGTTGCCTATACTGGCATGTAAAAGTGGACCATCATGCAAGATATTTGTTTTACCATGTTGTCCTTACAGTCTTTTTGGAAAATTCAATATCCCGAAAAGTTCACTTTCATTTTTACCTGACGACATAAATGTCAAACAGATAACAGAAAATAGTCGATATGGTACATATCTTAATTATATACAACACATTTTTGCCATTTGCAGATTTATACCTGAAGTTGATGCGCTCAGAATACCATCAACCAAACGTGTAGGTTTGTAACTATTAGTTATTTGTCGAATTTTTGAGTATGTATATAAAGAAAGAGAGAAGGAATGTAAAATTGCAATATACTCTGCTGTCAGTAACTCAACAAAATATCTATTGTATTTCTACGAACAACCTGGTGGCTGAAAGACAAACCACGATCATGTGTGAGTTACGTCACAAACCTTGCTAGATTCAAAATGCACCGTAGCTATATTGCCAGTTGCAGCCGTCTACAGTTGTGTATGCCATCCAAAAACGAACATGAAAATTTCTCATTTGGTATTGTTGCACAATTTTACTCTGTGGTCATTAATTCACTGGTTGAGATAAAGCTGATGGCATACTATATATGACAAGAAGAGGTAGTTAAAACGGTTGCTATAGTGTCCAAATCATGAAGATGGATTCTATGAGACTGCTTAATTTGATCACAAACTTAAGGCTATAGGCTGACAAGCTAGTAGAGAATTTATTGTTGGAGACAGTCATTTGTTTAGTTTCACATCGACAGCTGTATCTTATCGTCCATTGTTTGGGGGGTTCACATAAGATTTTTAGTCTTAATTAACTTTACCTGCTTGTTTTTTTATCGGATTTTTCTTAACTACTTTAGCTAATATCATAGTCGTCTCTAGCTTTTGTAGTGCACTATAGTATGATATCGCGGCTGTCTGTAATCTCACAGATCACAAAAACGAAGCTATTGATTCAGTGACCTAGTTTCTCCTTAAAATCCACTAGCCAACGTAATCTTTATCACTAATTGATAGAAATAGTTTCGGGACAATAAATGGTTTAGTTTTCTTCCAAAATCAAAGAACACACACTAGCATTAGATAGTAAACATTTGCTTCGCATTGATCCAATGACATATTTCTATAAGTCAACAAATAAAATGAGTTTCCCGGTAATTCCACCTCGTTTTAAACGATGTATTCCGACTGTTTATGAAATTCACATAACTTTCTACTGAGTAATTGTTAACTCCAGTTTCTGTTTTTTGCATGTTATTTTTATGTTTCGTTGTTCTAGATATGTATTGTTGGTCGAGATATAATCGATTCAAAGTGTTTTGAAAATAATGAGCACTCAAATCGTTTGTCTGCTGTCAATAAATACATTGAGTACGAACGTGATATTACTTCAAAGCCTAACAAAACGTTTGTTGCACGTCCACCCACAGAGGTTCCCTGTAACTGTACAAGAGTTTCGAAATTTGTTCTTGACAAAATATCACATACAGTTTTCAAAGCCTTATTAATCTGTAAACCAGATAAATATCGTTTACAATCCCATAATCTTATGCTTTCTGATGATTTAAGAATAAGAACTTTGGACAATCGTTGGTGGAATCCTGGTGGTAAGTTTCCATAACAGTTTTATTGGTAGATACTTTTCCAAATAGTATCCAATTTTTCACTGTAATGTTGCAAGTTCAATAAGTTCAAGGGTATATTTAGCGTAAGATATCATACGGATCACTGGGCGGTTAAAAATGCGTTTCACACTGTTGACGGCATGATACATAACCTGTCTCTATTCATTATGACAGCTAACGTAAAACAAAGAAGGTGTTAATAAGTAGCTCAACTTAAATTCTTGAAAAAAAATGCTCATTACTCTTATTGTATACGATCAAAATCTAATGGCCGTATATAACTGGTTTGATATATCTCTACTGATTAATTATATGAAGACGACTCCTCATGGAATTAATGTACGCATTAAACTGTCGTGCCAATTATATTCCGACTTTTAGATTTAAGTCAGTTTGGAATCTTCATTTCATGCCTTAAATATTTTGTTTGCATATATCCGTATAGTTTCATCTAAATATTTCATTTTATCAGCATAATCTTTTCATGTGGCTGGCGCTTTTTTACTGTATATAAACAATTTCCTAGAGGTTATTACCTAATAATACCTAATAAAAATCGTTTAAAACAGTGAAGGTGGTGATAAAATTTATATTGTTAATATAGATTACGTATAATAATTTCAGGTATTAGTTATTGTAAACTGTCATATGTGATCACAATAATTGCAGTATATAAATCTCTCAACAAGGTATACTCATCTGGCATTTATTTGTGACAGAAATTATCACAAGATGCAGTAGAATACAATATGTGAAGCTGCCGTGAAGTTTAGTTGGATGGGTGTACTGAAATATCAGGATAATAATTGTTATTAAAACGTAGATTTATGAACTGACCAATTGTGGTATAATCCATAATAACGAGTAACTCACTTCTTTTGGTTATCCGTTACTAAATGACAACATCTAAACTCGTCAGTATTGACTACAGAGTTTATTCTCATCCTTTTCTCACCAGAATTTATCAATCAAATCGATAAGCGAGTATAACGATTTCAAAACTTTATTTGCGACTATAAAAAAGCTCAGGTGCATATTTTGTATGGTTATGTGTTCTCTGGACCGGTTGGTTTAGTTACGAATCTCCCATTGTCGTCTTGGGTATCATCAGAGTCTACTTCAAGCAGAAGTGAGCTGTTTGAAGATCACTCCTCAGGTGATCAATCAGTCTGTTCTCATTGTGCTTTTTGTGATTGATGATCTTTGTAGGTTTTGTCATTTTCGAGTATCTATACATACTCGTTGACTGTGCTGTTCAGTTGACCATTGACTGTATGATTGGTAAGCATCCTCTTGTTTAGCGTTTTTTTAACAAGGTTGTTTCTTATTAAATGAAACTGCTACTCCTATGTCCAATACTCCACTTTTACATGGACTTGAAACCGGTAGTAACTCTAGAAAGGCTCCAGGCAGTTACGTTATTGGATTAACAAGACTGTATTTTATGCCGGTGTGTTTATTGATTTCATGTTGAACAAATTATCATGCTTTATTTGGGATTATTAGAATGTAATTGATTACTACTTTCCCGACCAAATTCATCTGGACGGATTGATGTAATTGATAATATGTCATGTCGTTCTGCTGCTAGTCTATGTTCATGTATAGATCGGTTTGCAAGTGATGTGTCGCCGAACATGACGATGATTGGTTGTTTGCTTACTCAGACTTGTAGATAGTCTGACAGGCGTTAAATGAGTTATATATTCTCCTATCCCTATTATCATTGATTGTTGTTGGTTTTTGGTGTGAAAATATATCCACGTTCTAGTTAGGTGAATCATGTGTTCTTGATCTGAGTTGTGTTGAAGTCCTGTAGAATAGACATTAACAGGGAATCTAGCGTAGATATTCGTCTAATATCCCGGAGAGAGACACTGGTATCTAGTGTGAAAAGTTGATGATCTTTCACCATATATACGTGTCAGGCATTCGATTGTTTTTCTGAAGGTCACATCGGCTGGCTTCTTTGGGAGAATAAAATTACAGAACTTTTCATGTTCAGAAACTCCGAGCCTCCGTAGTAATAATCTTAGTTTCGACCCTTCATCCCGCTCTTTACAATCATTAATAAACAAATCCTCATAGCACTTAAACCACGCCTCAAAAGTAGTCCCACTTTCTGGGTCAAATCTAAATTCATTTATTGAATTCGCAGTAGAATCCGAAGTCATAATGGAATTAGATACTTGGGTTCTTGGGGATACTGACATACTCTTGACCAATAATTCGATAAGAGCATTTTGCTGTTGCAATAAAGAATTCAGATCATACACATTATTGTTACAAAATCCGCTTTAACTGAATACATAGGCGTAGATGCGTTTTAACCACCGTCGCCGCTGTTATAAAGGTCGGTTTCCCACGTCTACACGAACGGAATGTTAGACGAATATCTATGCTAGATTCCCTGTTAATTTCTATTCTACAAGACTTCAACACAACTCAGATCAAGAACACATGATTCACCTAACTAGAACGTGGATATATTTTCACACCAAAAACCAACAACAATCAATGATAATAGGGATAGGAGAATATATAACTCATTTAACGCCTGTCAGACTATCTACAAGTCTGAGTAAGCAAACAACCAATCACTGTCATTGTCGGCCACACTTAATATTTTTCTTGTACTAACTTGAGTATTGCTAGGTTTTTTCTTGTTCATGGTTGTATTGATGCTTTTCTCTTAAATATATTTACTTATTATAAAAGATAGTATATGAGAAAAAGTTGGAATAAAATATTCTTCCCTCTTTCTAAATAAGGTACATTAACTTTATCAGAGTGCAGTGAACTTGTATCACTAGAGGATATGAAATTATTAAAATCTCAGCATGGTGGTTTGCAAACTGTCTTGAGGAATCACCATCAGTGTTTTCGAAGTGAGTTGACTTAACATGAAATTAATTAATTAGTCTATGTGACCTGTATATTTTCATGCAATTTTACATGGTATATGTATTAGCATGTATTAGCAGTTCAAACTGTGACTAGTGTTTGAATGTAGTACTTCTGATTTTTTTGAGTGCACACCATTTAATCGGATAAACAGTACAAAGAATAAAGGATTTTAAAAGTTCTAGGTAGTACTCTCCAGCTGGAATGAACTGGGTGCATAATCTTTAGAGGGGTATATATATATACTTAAATTCATGATGCAGTTAGAGCTCGAAGCACTGGACGGCCGTTCCGTGCTAGTATGAGACTCATCAGCAGTCCGCATCCACGACCCCGCCCCGCGGGATTAGAATTCAGGACCTATCAGTTTCGCGCGCGAACGCTTAACTTCTATATATGTATGGATGTGTGTATGTAAATTTATTACACTTTGACAGGGTGAGTAGGTGTACATATGACTAGATCCGAAATCAAACCTAGTGATTAAATTTAGACAAAGTAAATGAGTATTATACCATCAAATAAGTTAGTAGTGACCGATTAAGAAATTTCTTAGCAGTGTAGACAGGTGTACAATAGTGAAGGTATCTAAAAATGTAGAATAAAGTAGAAATCACAATACTTCAAAAATGACTCCTTGTTAATCACCAGAACCTTTTATATTTGTCAACTTAGTTTATTGCGTCAAATCAGAATGATTTGTGTCGGTTCATATACTTTCGTATTCAGTAGTCTATTAACAATCGTAAGTGGCTAGGAATTTTCCTCTCCGCTTAGCTAAAGGGGTTAAGCAAATACTCACTCATAAAAGTAGTTAGCCATTTTCGAATGTCTTTAGTTTTCTTGTCGCTTAAGATAATTTGAAGTGGCGATAATCAGTGTAATATGTCGAGCTAATCGTTGCAATATACGCTCGCTAGTGCTCGAAAGATGAGCTTTGAGAAGTATTATAAGAATTGTTGAACCTCAATCTAGCCACTTCATGTATATCATTCTTACATGGTAACTGGTTTGTAATTGTGATAGCAATTTTCTTATTTCTTTATTGGTAAGTCATTCAGGATATTTTTAGAAGTGATATATATTCAACAATTCGCATCTCGTATATAAATGCTGTCGAATAGATTTACTAAATGGCTAACTATTCTTTCCACAGATACCTCAGTTTTTATGTTATCTTGATTTGTTTAATATTTCCTCACATTAATTCTCGACGCATATAAAGTATAAGAGGTATTTTAACTAAACGGCTTTACTGAAACCCGTTAGATCTTGTTTTCCTTACCGTGGTTGCTAATTTTATCTTTGTTATTTAGTGAAAAAATAATGAATTCCCTTATTTTTTAAAACTTGGTGGAAATTAGGAATCCAGGAGAAAAGTGTATATCGTCAATGTGTTTGCTTCACGTGTGATACGATTAATAAACAATGTTAGGCCAATGAAATAGTAGATTCTGGATAGTACATAACGGTGTGCTAGATTGGTTATTTTTTGTCATTATTATTTTTCTAGGACAGTTGTAGTAGAAGTCAGAGAGACATAAGTGTGAGTTCAACGAAAGCATCAAAAGTATGTTTTCGAAGACAAATTTGTATTGAGTAATATACTGTATGTTAACTAAATTAAGTCCGCATTAAAGATTACCTCGTGATTACGGCACTCAGTTATACACATATTCAAAAGAAATGTAGTTCTTTTCGTCCCTAGCTCACATTACTCGAAAGTTTACAACTTCTTTATAGTGTATTGTTTCTGGCCGTAGATTGCCGAAAGATGTAGCATTTCAAACGATAAATTGGACAAAGTTATACTAATGCAAATAAACTAGATAAGATGGAAAACCTTACTAAAATCTAGTGGTATTGTAAGAAAAATAATATACTTATAAATATTCCAATCCATAGAAAAACTAAATTTTTAAATTTTCCGACTTAATTTTCCTACTCATTTGGACATTACAAATATATTGTTATTGATAATAACAATATACTTAATACTCAATTTATTTGAAATTATCAAGTCACACCTTGGTAATGATACCTAATGGTATTTTGTTTCCGAGATATTATATCATATCTTAATGTTACACTGTGATACGAACACGCTTGTAAGCAGCTGATGGGAAACCATAAGATAAAATGAATTCATATTATTTTGCTTCAGTTGTTGTTTTTGCTTTATTCAAATTCGTAAAAGAAATCAATCGTATGAAAAACTTATTTATTCGATTGGCTTATAATTACTTTCTAGCAACATAGTTGTTTACTTAATGGCGTAATGTAAAATAAACTTCAGTATGTGATTAAAATACCCCTCGTGTGAACAACAAAACAGAATACTTAGTTATCACGAGATGGGTAGTTTAAAAACTCTACTCACCTCTACAGATAACAGTGACCTCGTAAAATCTCATCATTAGTCTCATTGGATAAAGGTGCTTAAGAAATCCGCTTCATTGAGGCAATTTCCATTTTCACATTTCACGAATCGCAAACCAGGACGATGTGTTCATGACAAGAATCAATCTGTCTACTAAGTTTATTCTCAACTATGCGTTATTAAGATTTAAATGTTTGTTCTATTCCCATGCTCATGTAAAACTGGTTATTTTTGCGCCTATCGAACTTTGCTTATAGTATTTTTTTTGTTTATTCATCAAGCTATCAAAAACACCGTTCAGTTACGTTGGTTACCAGATAAGATGGCGAAGCTTAATGATTCTGGAATTCCGTTATTCAATAACAAAAATGGGAAGAATCGTAAAACAAAACTCTGCTGGATGTCACTTAACCATCCAGATGGTTGTCCATACACTTCTGAATTGTGTGACTTTGCCCATTGCGAAAAAGAAATCCTTATAAAAATCGGTTCCATGAAACAATAAACAACAAAGCATTTTCAACCAAATAACGTCTTTGTTTTCTCTCTACAATGTTTTCGTTACGCAATGAACGTAGCTTATGAACTGTGTACTGGCAAAGATTTTGGTATTCCAAACTTGTTTAGAAGATGAAACTGCACTAAGAACTAATTTTATTCTTGATATATAAAAAGTAAATAATTAAGAGTAACATTTCCCATACAGAGTACTAGACTAGTTTAATATTTCACATCATGAAGTGTTTATGTATCAAAGTAATAAACAAAATAGTGACATTTTTAATATACCAAAATAATGTTTAAGAAATATTGTTTATTGTGACTGAATCATAATTAGTTCATTTCTGATTAGCCAGCACTATAGCCAGGAGGGCCATGCGAACATGTGTTCCATACTCCGCTTGACGGAAGTAAGCTGCTCGAGGGTCGGAATCGAATTTGGGGCTGATTTCTCCAACACGAGGTAGTGGGTGCATTACAATCATTCCTCTAGGCTTGGCTAGTGTCATCAGTTCAGGTGTAACAACAAATTGGTCACGCCGAGCATCTCTGTCATCACTCATTCTTTCTGTTTGCACACGTGTCATGTAGAGAACATCGGTATCGGGAAGTGCCTCCTCCAAGCTATGAATAAAAAAATAATTTATTAGTTTAGTTTCAACTTTAATCCTGAATAGAATCTTGGTTTACACAGTTGTGTATTGTAGTCGTCCAACGCATGATCTGATGTTTGTGATAGGCTTTAGGAAAGATGGAATGCATCGAATTGTATTTCCGCATCTCTGGCTTTACAGAATATTTAAATAGAATAGTTTTTATAGATACAAACATTCACAGAAATTGTAGTCAAGTTCAAACTAAACCTACCTAGTCATCTCTTCTTGTGGAATACCACGATCAGCAACATACGATTTAACTTCTGGTGGCATCTTAAATTCGTCTCTGTGAGTAACATAACGTAGTTTGACTTTATATAAGCATAATAATCGAGCCAAACTATGTACTGTGCGTCCATTAGCGAGATCTCCAACCATAGTGATAGTTAGACCATTCACTGTCCCGATCTCCTCTCTAATTGTGAAAACATCGAGGAGTGCCTGAGTAGGATGCTCGCCTATTCCATCACCTGCATCGATAAGAAAACATGAAACCTTAGGTTCAAAAGACGAAATACTATAGGTAATAAAGGTTAATAGTGACAAAAACACGTTTTGTTTGTTTCAAGAACAAGCTACTTTTATAATTCAACCATATAAAGTAGTCTTCGTTGTAATCCCAGCTGATTTCACAGAAATTTGCATCCTCTTAAAAGTTGAAGATTATCATCATACTGTGGTTGATAAGTATTAGTACCAAGAATTAACAACACCAGATAAACGTTGTTTTCGATAGTAAGAATAATAGTATTATCTAAATATCAAAGGCTTTGTGACTGGTTAAATTGTTTGCTGAAAGAATAAATAAAAATCTTAATTTTAAACAAGCTTAGATGGCAGAAAAAGAAAAATCAAATAACTTAGCTAGAAGTTATTAAGATCTTATTGTAACTCAGTGTTCCAGATCCATTAAAAGCAGTGTCTGGTCGCACTTATTGCGGCGTAAAAATCAAGGAGAGTGTCGTATACGTTGAGAAAAAACGAGCTTTAGCCATATGATATAGTTTAATTACTCATTCCACAATATCAAGCACCATATAAGGTATACGATTGTTTCCTACAACGCTCCATTCATTTGGCGGTGATAATACCTTGTCCTGAGTGAATAGTCAACAAAAAAGGAAGTCTTTGTAACAATTGTCGACGATTCTATGCATCAAATATGAACAATGTCTCTTGTTCTTTTGCATAATGACACATGAAATAGCAATTTTGTTTTGGCCGTTTGCATTTGATTATTCATCAAATGTAAAGAAAAGTATTTCTCTAAACAAAGAAATTTTAATTTTATCATGATAACATCAAAGATCCTAATCACTATTTTCAGGTAAGTTATTAATTACAGTTTACTTAATGATAACTCGGCTGTGATCGCTTTATTGTTTTGTTTGTACTTACAATAGTTCACTATATAAACAACCAAGTTTTACGCCTACGTTATGACATTGTTTTTGTCATTATGTTATTATTTTTAATAAAATAACTAATCGATAGAAGACTTTCATCTACATAGTACATTTAATATTCGCGAAATATTAACATACTATCATGGGATAAAGTTATCCATAAGCAAATCTTAGAGAAAAATGCCAAAATTCTGTCATGTTAAATAAAATAAGTGATGAAAACTTTACAGATCTTAGATTGGATTCGTTTATTTTGGAGTACGCTGAAACTTTTGTATTTATTCAGGGGCATTTAGTTTTGAAAACAGCAATAATTAATTTTAGTTTAATACTGTAGTCAGATTACAACATATTCAATTGCAATAAACACAACTCACCAAGAATATAAAGACAATATGAACTAACCTGCATTTATAATTGGTTTGTGTACTATTGAATTTGCTAAAGCGTGTATAGCACCTTTTCCAGGATGCCTAATTACCAAGCAATCACAATAACTGGCCAATATCCGTACAGTATCTAAAACAGTTTCACCTTTTGTCTGGGAGCTGGTAGATTCTGAAAAATGCATTACAGTGCCACCCAGTCGTTGCATTGCTATAGCAAATGAATTAGAAGTACGCGTACTTGGCTCAAAAAACAGATTTCCCATTACCTGATAAAGAATTATGCAAAGTGAAGAGTTAAATATACTAAAGAAGATTTGGTGAAGTATAAATATTTAGTGAGTTGTTTTTATTTAATAAAATATGTATTAAAGTTTTACATACTTTTCCACGGCATATCTGATCTAAAGGTTTGTTTTTATTTAGAGCAACTCTAAAACTATGTGCTAAGTTATACAACCGACGAAGATGATCTCTTGAGAAATCCAGAGAAGAAAGTATATGCTTCCCTGATAAACCTTCTAACCACATACTTGGAAGGGTTTGGTGAGTTTGAGGTAGTTGGGCAGTTGGAATCAGACCAGATACGGAAGGTTGGTATGCAACAATTGGACTACGAGGTCCCTCATCGCTTTGGGTGGTAGCTGGGATCGGTGTACCAGGTTCATCTTGAGACTGAAGAACAAATACAGATGGATATACATACGAAAAGTAAATATTATTTATCAGTTTTACGAACAGATATTTTCATAATAATAATGGCAATTATGTATTTCCTTATAGAATAAGTTATGAAATGAGATCCATGTTGCTACTAATCGATTACTTTCCAATTTCAGTGAATATTTCCTAAGGAAGTGAATCAGCACTAATTGGGAAGTGCTGTATAAATTTAAAAAGCTTCGATTAGGAATACATGACTTGCTTTTCTATTAAATAGATATGAAGCATTACAAAAGTGGTTTTAATGGACATATTACCATTAACTGAGTTCGGGGGTAACAACCATTCAGTGTTAATCTGGATAACATTCCTATGCAAGTGAGTAGTTTACTTCTCAAAATTGATCGAAAATGTAAAATGATTGTTGTCAGACACCTCTATTAAAATTGGAATTATTTACCCCGAACAAGCGAGTAACCTTGGTGAGTTTAAAAGTTTTTCACTCTTACTATCTGGTTACAAAGAAAATAAATGGTAACACAACATTCATGTAGATATATGTCGTACTGTAGTGAACAAGAACATAGGTGGTGACAATCGAATGTATTCAACAGAAAATTACAGGACTTGTTAATAAAATCTAACAATCATAGAGTAAATGCTTAATTTGCAAAATGTCCACCAATTGTCTCAAAATGACTCAGACTTCATTGTTCTTGCATTTTCATACAAATTGCATCCTGTTTGCATTCTTTACTGTTCGATCCTCTTGTCTCTCTGCTGCCAGACCTTCTGATAACGACTAACATCATATACTGCTTATTTCAATATAAGTAGCACACACCACAGTACTAGCTACTTGAAAATACCACACCTGCAAACTTTTCTTGTGCTTAGCTTCACGACGTTGTTAATTTTCAAAATCTAATGGAATGAAATTTTATCGAGAATTTATCTAATTGTTTAAAGCAACAGATAAACTAGATAGTAAAGTCACGAATATGATAAAATTTCACATGCTTTGGAATAATAATTTACAAGAATACATAAGTGTAATCAACGATAATTGTACACAATAGGTAACTTACTACCTGAACACGTTCATTAATTGAATTATACCGGTTTCTTAGAGTGGGAGAACCAGCTGAGACAGGAATATGTTTCAAAGAAGTGTCAATCGTTAGTGGGTCGTAAGAATTCTTAGGCAAGGATATGTCTGACGACACATCTTTACCGAAACCAGGTTCTACCAAAACTGAAACAGGACAGAAAAAGAATTTATTCATTGGAAATGTACATATATATATATATATATATATATATATATATATATATATATATATATATATATATATAAGAAATGTAGTTCAATTCAATAACTTTCAACATTAGAGACGAGGGGAAAAGACAAGTTGAATTGCGAGGAAATTTTATTCAGTTGGTTCTCTTTATGAATTTGAATAAGACCAAAACAACGATTGAGGTAAAATAATATGAATTCATATTTCGTGATTTCTCCTCAGCAGCTTAAAACCATATTTCGTATTAAGGTTTAACACTCAGTCAAAGACTGAGACTGACTGACACTGGAATATAATATAATCTGAGATAACATACATAGGTGACGAAAAGAATTGAAATAATGATTATCTACACGATATAAGTGAATAAAAGTGCGTGAAGTCATTTGTAGAGTGGATGAAAGAGTACTTGTTTAGAACTTGGAAACTGATAAAACGGATTACTGAATAATTGTAGTAGGTTTGAAGAGTTTACATAAACATGGGGATTAGGCGAGTCTATCATTTCATCAATAATTTCTATTGTTTTTCTAAGACCATATTCCCAGCAGTGGAGAATAAAAAAATACCCTTTAATATAAAATTTAGGAAATGGGAGCAGCGCATAGTTC